GCATGAGGCTGTTTTATTTTAATAGCCGCCCAAATGGGAACAACAGAAATGTCCTTTGATGGGGGAATGGTTAAACAAATGTGGGCATTCCCAGACCATGGGAATACTCAGCAGTAAAGAGAAGCAAACTATTGAGTATATACCACACATCAAGCTTATATGGATTGCAGGGAAATATGCTGAGCGAAGAAAAGGCCAGTCACAAAAGGTTACATCTGACTCCATTCACGTACGCATTCTTGAAATGACACATCGCAGAGAGAGTGAGCAGACAGATTAGTGGTTGGCAGGGTTGGAATGGGGAGCGGGTGACCGGTGAAGGGTAGCATGAGGAAGATCTTCGTGTGGGTGACGAATGTTCCGCGTCGTGAGCATGGCGGTGGTTGCGCACACGTCTGCGCACCGGCGGACAAAAGAACCAACAGAGCTACACACGGGGTACAAACGGCCGGCGTGTCGAAACTAGTGGAAATCTGTGACCGTACCAGGCCGAGGTTTCTGATTTGTATACAAGACGGTTAGAGTCCAACCCCCCCCCTCGCCCCCCCGCCCCCCCCCCCGCCCCCCCCCGCCCCCCCCCCCCCCCCCCCCCCCCCCCCCCCCCCCCCCCCCCCCCCCCCCCCCCCCCCCCCACCCCCCCCCCCCCCCCCCCCCCCCCCCCCCCCCGTCCCCCCCCCCCCCCCCCCCCCCCCCCCCCCCCGCCCCCCCCCCCCCCCCCCCCGCCCCCCCCCCTGACGTTATGGAATCAGGATAAATCTATTTATTGGTCTTTGGGCTGAATCATTTAAGCCGTGGCCGTGTTAGGTGGGTGGGGGCGCTCTGGTTACTTCCTTTCTGTCAGAAAGCGAGGCGGGCCAGCAGCTACGACAGCAGCCTGCCACGGGCAGGCGTGTCTACGAATGCGGGCAGCAAAGCGTGTTTCTGTTTTTATGCGCAAGTTCGGGTGTATACGTGTTGGGCACGGTGCTCGCGAGGTGAACACTCACGGGTTGTCCGTCAGAAAAGGGAGGCTGGGGAGTCCGGGCTGGGATGCTTTCTTGTCGCACTGCTGGCCTCTGAGTTCTGCCTTGGATGGTTGGACAGAGGGCAACATTCCGGCTTTCCTCTGGGGCAGGAGGAGAGTTGAAAAGGCTCGGCCACTGCCAAGCGCAGTTTTTTTTTTTGTTTTTTTTTGAGACAGAGTCTCCTCTATTGCCCAGGCTAGGGTGAGTGCCGTGGCGTCAGCCTGCTCACAGCAAGCCTCACAGGACTCACTGGGCTTTCAAGCGAATCCTGCTGTCATCCAAGCCGTCCGGAGTAGCTGGAGTTAAGCTCAAACATAAACAACAGGGTCTTCAACCTGTCTGGGCGACGGGCCCCACCAGGCCTGCCTAGTATTTGCGCAGCAGGCTAGAAATTGTGTTGCTTTCAAGCCAAGCTACTCTACTTCCATTCAGTTTCCGGAGACCCAAACTTGATGCCTAATCTGCTCTTGGTGTTTCGCTTTTATAGTAAGTCAGTACTACTGGTAGACTCGGGCATCCGTGAGCTGTGCAGAGCTCTGGGCTTTGTTTGCGTGGAAGAACCAGGGAGGCAGCTCTGTGCCCCGGCCCCGCTGACCTTGACCCCGGGCCCCGCCGCCTCTCTCTCCCTCCCTCCCCAGCTCGATGCTGCCAATGTCGCCGACGGCCATGGGGCCCACCATCAGCCTGGACCTGGACGTGGACGACGTGGAGATGGAGAACTACGAGGTCCCGTGGGCTCCGTGCCGGGGGGTGGGGTGGGAGACCTGCGGCCCCGGGCGCCACTGACCGCCCCGTCCGCCCTCCCCAGGCCCTCCTGAACCTGGCCGAGCGGCTGGGAGACGCCAAGCCCCGAGGCCTCACCAAAGCAGACATAGAGCAGCTCCCTTCGTACCGCTTCAACCCTGACAGCCGCCAGTCGGAGCAGACGCTGTGAGTGCCGCCCGCCCCCACCTTCCGGGAGGTCTCCCCGCCGTGCACCTTCCCTCCTCGCTGTCTCCGCGTGTGCAGGTGACACTCTGTCCCCTCCCCAGGTGTGTGATCTGCTTCAGTGACTTCGAGGCCCGGCAGCTGCTCCGAGTCTTGCCCTGCAGCCACGAGTTCCACGCCAAGTGCGTCGATAAGTGGTTGAAGGTAACCGGCCTGTGGCGGCTCCCCGGTGTCCTCCGGGTTCTCCCCGGGCGGGCGGGTGGGGGTGCGCGGGCTGGCGGAGTTTCCTTCATCCCTGCTGTCGTCGGCTCCCGGGGGCCGAGTCCCACCCGGCAGCTGGAGGGACGGGAGTGGGGTGGGGACAGGCGGGAGGGAAGCCTGACGTGCGCTGCCCCCCCAGGCTAACCGGACGTGTCCCATTTGCCGGGCCGACGCCTCTGAGGTGCCCAGAGAGGCTGAGTGAGGCTCCACGGCTGCCCAGGAGAACCCTGCCCAAAGCTCTGGACCCTCGGGGGTGGGGGCAGGGAGGACGGGGAGGGAGGGATCCCGGCCTGCCCCGTCGTTCCCACCTGCATCTCCAGAGCTGGCGCCAGGGTCAGCCCCGAGAGAAGCCCCTGCAATAAGCCCTGCATTTGCCAAGCTCCAAAGACTCCTTGCCCGGTCTGGTCTGCCTGCCTGTCTGCCCACCACGGAGCTGCCTGAGCCCCCCGAATTTGGTCTCCCTCCTGTTGGCCTTCAGGTCCTTCTCCCCTTTCCTCCTGGCGCTGTGAGCCAGGGGTCCGTTGCCCCAGCGTGGCAGAGGGACGCCATCCTGGGCCATCTGGCCTCTTGCACTGACATGGCATGCCGTCTGCTCGAGTGGCACTGCCAGGTGCGTGGACAGTGTCGTGAGGCCGTTCCCTGAGCCCCGGGCCGAGTCCTCCCGCCTTGACCAGACAGACTCTGGCAGCCCCTCTGCCGAGGCTGCTGTGAGGGGCCGTGGCTTCTAGAGAACCCTCCCCCAGGCAGGGTGGCGCCACGCCGGCCTCTTGGGCACATGGAGACCAGCCCGAGCTGAGGCACACGTATCCTGGGGGAGCCCAGGGAAAGTCGAGCCTCCGTGTTCCTGGTGGCCGCCCCTCCACCAGTGAGGGCCAGACCCGTGCTTGATTTTCTCCCCTCTCTGTCGTTTTGCATGAATGTGAGGAGCAGCAGTTTTTGTTTATTCATTTGGCCTAAAATCGCGTGTAGGATTTGGGGATGTGGAAACTTAAGACAATTTTTTTTTTTCTTTTGGTTTAATGGGGTCAGGGGTAGGGACCAACCAGGCCCGGGCGCCCGGGGGGCAGAGCGAGGTGCAGACCAGCCGCCTGGCCTGCATGCCGTGCGTGGCCGGGCCGCGCCGGGCGCTGGCCATCGTGGCAGGGTCGAGGGGTCTGTTCTCAGCTGATAACTGCCATGCACTGCACTGCACACCTCCCTCGAGCCCACCGGGACCGCGCGTTTTCAGGGCATTTCTCCCGCTCCGGCCAGGGCCCGTCTCCCGCCTGCCTGGGTGAGTCTCCTCCAAGGAAGTCCCAGGAGCATGAGGACCAGGGAGGGCGTGGACGCCCCTGTCCAGGGGTCCCCTCCAGTCTGGTCCCTGCCCTCTGAGGTCTGGAGGGGGTCCCTGCGGGGTCTGGCTGAGCTCCCCGCCCTCCTCCCCTGGCCCCGCTCTTTTCCTCTCCTACCCCCAGCTGGGCTTGCTGCCCTGAACGAACCGCGTGTGGGGCGGCACATCCTAGCAGGCCCCGCGCCTGCTGCCTCAGGGATGCTCCAACCACCCTCGTTCTCCTCCCGCAGCCCGGCCCACCTCCCCGCCCCGCCTGCCGCGGCCCCCGCTGGTCCCGCCCCCGCGGACAACCCAAAGTCTTACTGTATATAACTCCAGGTGACGTTTCTATATTTATAGCAGTGTTGAAAACCCATGTGTTTTACACGGAGAACCGCCCTCCCTGACCCCCTCCCTCCCCGACCCCAGCAAGAGGGCTTGAACCCCTCGCGGTCCCTTGGGCAGGCGGGCACGGGCTCCCGGGCTGCGTGCTGGCTGCAGCAGTGAGCCCAGCACGCAACTGTTGGGGGAGAATACAACGTTAAAAGAGAAAACACCATTTAAAAAAAAAAAAAAGGTTTATAAAACAATTACTTAGGATGTTTGTGATTTGCCGACCTTGCTGTAGATGCCATGTTACCAATGATTTCCTGTGGTGGGGGCTTGTCGTCGTTTACTCTTTATTCACCACCTTCCGGCCTAGGCATGACAGCGGGCATCTTCCCCCAGCCCTGGCTGGGCCCAGCGCCTGCATTCTGTGTTAGAAAGGTTATATATATATATATATACACACACACATATATATATATATATAATTACATATATATATAAATACATGTAATTTGGGGGGCCCTGTTCCTTGCACATTTTACAGTTACCTCATTTTTCCCATGTATGTATTTGAGAAAATGCTAATATATAGAGAAAAAAAAATGGTTCTTAAAGCTTAAATGTGTGGTTTTTTTCCATTCCATTGGATTCACATTGGTTTATAGCATTTAACATAACTAGTATGTTGTATTATATATATGTGTATACTGATTGAAATTTTTAACAGATTTGTACTTTTTTTAAAATGAAAGTTGCTAGTTCTGCTTGACCAAGTAGTGCAATCATTATTTTTTTTAATATTGTTGCTGATTTCAGAGGGATATTCACTAATAAATGTACGACGTATACCAAGTGTCGCCCGAGCCGCCCCTGGCCGCCTGTGTTCTTTGCTGGGAAGCTGAGGGCGGGGAGCGCGGGGGGAGCCGTGGAGCCGGCCTCACGCGGGCCAGGGGGGCCACGCCAGCTCGGTGACTACTCTGGGCCATCTGCTGTGCACGTGAATTAGGTGGGCAGCATTCTGTCAACGAGTCACAGGATTTCATCTAACTGGTTTGAGGAAAAGTCACTTACTGGTCTCCTGTAATTTATTTATTTATTTTATTTCGGCATATTATGGGGGTACAGATTTTAAGGTTTCAATAAATGCCCTTCCCACCTCCCCCCCAAGTCTGAGTTTTAGTTGGTCAATTAATTTCTTTCTATTATAGTGAGACGGGGTCCGCTCTTGTCAGGCTGTTTTTGAACTCCTGACTCGAGCTCCTACGCCCTTGGCTCCCAGGTGCTTAGGGTTACAGGCGTGACCACGCGCCGCACCTATTCTGATTGACGTGACAAGTAGAGCTGCCTGTAAGTAAACAAGCTTCGGTGCTTTCAAGCATTTCCTCATCACACAGGTGCAAGTATCGGACTGCTGTTGTCAATGCGCAGCACAGACCACCGCAGTGTGAAGAGCGAGGTGTCGTGGCAGTGAGCGCACATTCAAGTGGTAACATTTGTCTTAGTGTTATGTTTTACCTTTAGATCTGTGATCCATTTTGAGTTCATTTCTGTATATTTGTGTATTTTTTTTTTTGAAAAGACTGCCCTTCATCTGAGTGGTTCATAGTATCAGCTGTCTTGGCTTTTGTATTGTGCGGTGCTCACATCCTAACCCTGGCACTTTGGGATATGGTTTGATGCCGGATGGATCGCTTGTTTATTGGCTATATGGATTTCTGTGGACTAGCCTGAAGCAGGGGAGACCTTTTTTTCATTCGTCTTACTATAAACTCTCTGGATTTAGTACCGTTTGCATTTGGTTGGTCATCGATCACCTGTAGTCTGCTGACTTGGGTTATGGCGAGCAGGGGAGCCCAGGAGTTTGTTGGTTTGGTGTTTTTTTTTTTTGTTGTTCGTTTTTTGATGACTAGAGTCTCACTTTGTTGCCCAGGCTAGAGTGAGGGTTGGCTCGTCAGCCTCTATGCCGCAACTCCTGGGCTTCAAGCTGTCCCTCTTGCCTTTCTTTAGTTTCTTCTGAGTACTGGGATCTAACAGGTGCATTTGCCGCCTATTGTTCAGTTTAATTTTCTGTTTATATATATTTTAAGTTGATCAATTAATTTCTTTCTATTTTTTTAGTAGAGACTTGGTCTCGCTCAGGGTGTTTGAACTCCTCCCACCTCGAGCCCCGTCGTCCACTCGGCCTCCAGAGTGCTAGGATTACAGGCATGAGCCACCGCGCCCGGCCGAGCCCAGGAGTTTGAAGTTGCACTGAGCTATGATGATGTGACTGCACTCTAGGGTGAGTGACAGAGTGAGACCCAGTCACAAAAAAAAAAAAAAAAAAAGTTAGCTATAATGCTTAGGTTTATTCGTGGGCTCTTTATTCTGTTCCATGGATCCATTTGTCCTTCCCTCTGCCAATATCCCACTTTCCCGACCAATGCAGCTATACAATAAATCTTAAAATATGGCACAGGGATTCTTCCCACTTTATTCTTGTTTTTCAAAATCGTTGTAGCACTCTAGTTCCTTTGCCTTTTCATATACCTTTTAGAATAAGCATGTCTGTACCTGAAAAAAAAAAAAACCTGGAATTTTGATAGGAATTGCATTAAATCTACAGATCAATTTGATAAGAAATGACATCTTTACTATGTTGAGAATCCCAATCCATGAACATGGTATGTTTCCATTTATTTAGGTCTGATTTCATCAGTGTTTTATAGTTTTCTTTTTTTTTTTTAGACAGAATCTCACTCTGTTGCCGGGGCTTGAGTGCCGTGGCGTCAGCCTAGCTCACAGCACACCTCAAACTCCTGGGCTCAAGCAATCCTCCTGCCTCAGCCTCCCAGAGTACTGGGACTACAGGATGTACCACCCATGCCGGATAATTTTTTCTATATATATTAGTTGTCCAATTAATTCTTTCTATTTATAGTAGAGATGGGGTCTCGCTCTTGCTCAACCTGGTTTCGAACTCCTGACCTCGAGCAATCTGCCCACCTCGGCCTCCCAGAGTGCTAGGATTACAGGCGTGAGCCACCGCACCCGGCTGGGATTTAATTTTTTAAGTACCCCAGAGTTTACATTTTACTTGTTCTTTCATGCTAATGAAAACAAAATACTGGAAAAATAGACAAAAATCCCCTCCCACACGGTGAAACCACGCGTCGAGTGTGGCTGGACATACGAGCTGCTACCAATGCCAACCGTGTCGAATCACACCTGACATCCGGGTGCAAAGTATAACGCTAGCTGTAAGGTTTTAGGTTCTAGGTAGTCCCTCTTTATCAAGTTAAGGACATTACCATCTATTCCTACTTTGCTGAGAGTTTTTATCATGGATGAATGTTGAATTTTTCTTTTTCTTTTTTTTTTTTGAGACAGAGTCTCACTCCGTTGCCCGGGCTACAGTGAGTGCCGTGGCATCAGCCTAGCTCACAGCAATCTCAATCCTGGGCTCCAGCGATCCTCCTGCCTCAGCTCCCCGAGTAGCTGGGACTACGGCATGCGCCACACGCCCGGCTCATTTTTTCTATTTATTTTTAGGTGGCCAATTAATTTATTTCTATTTTTATAGTAGAGACGGGGGTCTCGGTCTTGCTCAGGCTGGTTTCGAACTCCTGACCTTGAGTGATTCACCCGTCTCGGCCTCCCAAAGTGCTAGGATGACAGGCATGAGCCACTAGGCCCAGTCAAATGTTGAATTTTGACAAAAAAAAATTTGGGGCACTCCAGCCTGGGTTGACAGAGCAGACTCTATCTCGAAAAAAAACAAAAAAACAAGAAAACCACACAAAGTTGTGTGATGACAGAGGCCTTGTTTCCTCATGACAGGCCTAAGCTGCAAGAGAACTTACCTTAGAATTTAAATTACAGGAGACCCTGGGAGGCCGAAGTGGGCGGATTGCTCGAGGTCAGGAGTTCGAAACCAGCCTGAGCAAGAGTGAGACCCGTCTCTACTATAAATAGAAAGAAATTAATTGGACAACTAATATATATAAAAAATTAGCGGCATGGTGGCGCATGCCTGTAGTCCCAGCTACTCGGGGCTGAGGCAGGAGGATCTCTTGAGCCCAGGAGTTGGAGGTTGCTGTGAGTTAGGCTGACGCCACGGCACTCACTCTAGCCCGGGCAATGGAGTGAGACTCTGTCTCAAAAAAAAAAAAATGGTTAGAGCTGGAATCCATACTACTAAGTGAAGTATCCCAAGAATGGAAAAACAAGCACCACATGTACTCACCAGCAAACTGGTATTAACTGAGCAGCACCTAAGTGGACACATAGGATACAGTAATAGGGTATTGGCAGGGGGAGGGGGGGGGTATAGACAGACATAATGAGTGAGATGTGCACCATCTGGGGATGGTCACGCTGGAAACTCAGACTTTGGGGGGGGGGAAGGGCATTTATTGAAACTTAAAATCTGTACCCCATAATATGCCGAAATAAAATAAATAAATAAATTACAGGAGACCAGTAGTGACTTTTCTCAAACCAGTTAGATGAAATCTGTGACTCGTTGACAGAATGCTGCGCCACCTAATTCACCGTGCCAGCAGATGGCCCAGAGTAGTCACCGAGCTTGGCGTGGCCCCCTGGCCCGCGTCGGAGGCCGGCTCCACGGCTCCCCCCCCTTCCCCCAGCAAAGAACACAGGCGGCCAGGGGCGGCTCGGGCGACACTTGGTATACGTCGTACATTTATTAGTGAATAATCCTCTGAAATCACAACAATTTAAAAAAAATAATGATTGCAGCCTACTGGTCAAGCAGAACTAGCAACTTTTCATTTTAAAAATTAGTTACAATCTGTTAAATTTCATCAGTAGTACCATAGTATATGAGTAATACAACGATACTCGTTATGTAAATGCTATAAACCAATGATGCTCAACTCCTGGGCATGGACATAAACCCACACATTTAAGCTTTAAGGAACATTTTTTTCTCTATATTATTAGCATTTTCCTCAAATACATACCTGGGAAAAATGATGGTAACTGTAAATGTGCGGAACAGGGGCGCCAATTACATGGTATTTATACTATCTATGTTAACTTATATATACTATATATGGTGTGTGGTGTTTGGCTATATTATAGCATATATAACCCTTTCTAACCACAGATAGAGCGCTGGGGCACCAGCCTCAGGGCTGGGGGATAAGATGCCCGCCTGTCATGCC